GAATGTATACTAAATTATAAAACGTTTGTACTTATTGAAACACTCGGTATATCTGGCCTGAACGACAGTTCTATCAGGTGTAAATATTATAAAATGACCTATTAAATTAACGAGTGGAACTTCGAAACTTAAAACAGGCTTAAGGTGTCCGACGATGCCAAACTATAAAGTAAAATATCGGTGCACGTGATAATATCAATAAGCAGGGTTTCCAATCTCCTTATACCTTTTGCCCCTAGCTTCCAGCAGAAATCCCAACTTTGCTCGCTCCCGTACACCGGTATCTATTGTGTAAGGTCCCTGAACAGAACTTTGTTTCTGAATGAAAATAAAGAGCATTGCTTTATGGTGCAGTCAAAAAGTTTGCAAAATAATATCCTAACCTCACGGACATCGTAGTTGGAAGCCGTAAGCTATCTAGATGTGTTAGCACTCTATCAAAATCTAGGATAAGCAACATTTACTTTATTATAGTTATTCAATTCAATAAAGGGTTGAAAAGCGCCCGTTATTAGCCTAAATTATACTAGCGCATTTATACATAAATAATATAAATAACATCTGAAATAAAGAAAAAATCACAAGTTTTAACCAGTAAACGCCAGCAGAATTAAACGTATTTTCAGTATTTTGCGTAATACGATATGGGTGATTAAAATAGGTCTCATACAAGCGTTGTCACCGGTACCAAAACTATATTTTGCGCTGTTACGCAACTATAAGAATGTAAAATTGTAAATTGAGAACAATTCCAGGTTAAACATTAGGCCAAGGCCACAAATGACCATTTCATTATCATGGTATTACTATTTATATATGTTTTTATATGACATAAGGTGGAGCCCAATTCACACATATTCAATACAGTTTGATGGTAACCTCGTCAGTGTAAACTTATTGGAGGACACTTGATTAAATACTGTGAACATTTCTGAGCCGAAGTTTTTCTCGTAGCGGGAGTCCATTGATGTGGAATTTCGTCATCTCAGGCAATCCACCATCACAAAGATCTTTCAGCCTACGCTAAATCTATAATGCCGCAGCATTTACTGAAAGAAACCATACACCAAGCGCTAGGCGCAAGGTTTTGTTAAGCACACACGACGGTTCAGACATCGGTTTCGACAATTTTCACCGTATGCTCCTCAGAAAAGGACATTGCGCGTGGATTGGTTTTTAGTAATATTGGGCTTGTACAGCATCTATCGCACTCTCTCTTCCGGCATCCACCGGACTGGGTGTCAGGGAACAGTCTAGTAGACCGAAGGCGGGATCAAGTGTTAAGCACGCATGACTAAATAACACTAACGCACTTTAAAAGTTAGAGGGCAACACTGTCATCCAAGTTGAAGGGGAAAAATATGACTGCACAAATATTTAAATTCCATGGCCGAGAACTTTGGGGGAAGGCATGTTTGAAACCGAAAATTGCCGCCGGTGGACACAGAAATCTTGAACTGTCTCCACAACCTCTTAAGTAGACAAAAACGAACGAAACATCAACTAATAGTGCTACAGCACCACAGTTACCGACATGGTCCACTCTACTGCAGCCATGAAAGCTATCTTTGCGAGAATTGAGAAACGTTGACCAACTCGATGTGTTTTGATGAGTAAAATAACTTTACAAAGGAACCGAGGAAAGATGTGCAGAATATTATTCTGCCGTTTGGAACTGATAAATGCAAAAGCCTGGGCTCCACTTAAGAACACAGAACTTTACACTGTAGCCCAGAACTCAGAACTCTCCCGACTGTATGGTCCGCCAAATATCTCAAAACTTACTGCTCCACTAGAATCCATCCTTTCGCTAAAATACAGTTCCAGTTGTGAATGACCGAAAGACATGTCCTCAAGAAAACTGTCTCTCAGAGGCGATATAACTGCATCAGTCCGAGCAGACTAGCGATTACTCGAATATATCTGAGGTCGGAGGTTTAAATTGCGATACTTCCTAACGGCGAACTCGAGAGGACGGTTCACAGGCAGTAAAAAGACATAATTTCCATTTCAAAGGAAACCGTCCGGTGGCTCAAAAATTAAACT